GAATGGGAAGTACAAACATACGATAGAGCCTTAATTTAATTTCAGGAAGATAGAAATTGTAAGAAATAAAGCCACAAATCTGAGCAGCTTTGGCTGTAATTCTGTCAGCGTGCGGCGAGAGATCAAGATTACTAGTGTAGCTGCCGTCTGCCAACTGCTCCAAACGCCTAAGGAACTGTGTAGGCTTCCTGTCACCGAGGTCCTCCTCAGAAATTAAACGCTGGAGATGTTTTTGCGTTGAGAGGGAAATGCGGGAAATGAGGGCCTCCTTTAGGGCAGTATAAGGGGCTTCTGTGGGCGGGCAATCTATGATGTTGCGGAGGTCGGTGGCGATGTCCATTGGGAGTGCTGCCACAACATAATGAAATTTCGTATCCTCTCGTGTGATCTGACGGAGGGCGAATCGTGACTCTACAGTGCGCAGCCATAACGCGATGTCACCGAGCCACACGGATGGCAGGTCAAATGTGTGAATGCCGGCTATCGGCTGGCTGGTTGAATCGCTGGACATAATTAGCCGGGGTCGGTCAGAGGTCAGATAAATGGGGTAGAGGACTGGCGCGTTGACAGAGAGATTGAAGGGTAGCGCTCGTATTGGATGAAAGGGTGAGACAGTGTGAATAACAAATAAGGGCTAGATGAATAATCGAATCGATAAAAATTAGAGTGAGGATTAATCCGAATGGAAATAGTTATGCACAGAGATTAAACAGAAGGAGCTATGAACGATATAGGGTCACCAGTATACAATGCCATTTGCAAGCCAGTCCTGTCTGACCCACATTCGTACCCATCAAGGCGGACACTTATTGATACCCTGACGATGACCGAAAACATTCCGTTATATACCGCCACCTACAGGCCAGTCCTGCTCGCTTTATTCTGTTACTATTTTTAAAGAGGGGTTTTTTCTCCTGTAAAATTAATCCAATCATTTTTAACTTTTTCCGAGGAGTTTTTTTCACCCCTCAATCATCATGTTTCTCAATGGACTTCTAATTCAGAAACTATGAATTGCATTTTGTAAAGATTCAGCCCACCTCGTCTAAAACTCGCCTGCAAATTTATTTTAACTTGCTTTGATGGGACCCCGACGGGTCTTTAATAAAAATTATCTATCTATCTATAAGAGACAAACCCACTAGTTGGGCACAGCGAGTAGGCCATCCAGGAAAGGAAAATAGCACTATCCCAACAGTTACAAACTAGTAAATAAGAACAAAGTCGTCAGCAGGTAAACGTGCACGTGCGTGTTCTTTGTCTTATTCAAAGTTGTGTCAAAGCGTATTGTAACTGATTAAAACAGAACAGATTTAAATGTCACTACAGCTATATGGACGGCGAAATTACCCACCGGATGTTAAAAGCAAACTAGGCATTTAGCATGCTGCAGGCCCCGTCTAGAATCGCCGAGGCATTTGCGTCAGCACAAGACTCGTGATGTAAACTGCAGAAGTAATGGCGACGTTATTTAAGGAGGCAGACACACAAACCTAACCAAAGAACAACCACGTCCACGTCAGCTGCCTCCGGAGAATATCATAACTGGGGTGGCAGGACAGGATTCCCGACGTGCAAGTCATGGAACCGACTGGAATCACCAGCATCCACCTCATGCAGAGGCAAATGCGACGGCCCTGGAGCAACCGCCTCATGGAGGTGAACGACGAGCGGCTGCCTAGGCGATTCTCATAATGCGATGTCGATAGGAGTGGAGGCGGACAAGGAAAGGATAATGAGGCTGCAAGGATATTCAGAGGACTTCTAGCAAAAACATAAGAATCGACTCAGAGGCCTGGAAGGACCTTGCCCAGGAAAGACGGACTAAAAAAAGGAGGAGACATAGTTTATACCATTTGCAAGCTGACCGATAAGGCTGATGTACGTAGTCTGGCACAGAAAATGGAATTGCTAAGCATTACCATATCTGCTCATTATTTCCGACCACTGACACTTTCGGTGGTTTATAATTAACCTAACACTTCTTCATCCACAGAAGAACTGCCGACCCCAAGCGTCAGTGATATACTCTTCTCAGAAGGCATTGTCCGAAAAGAATAAGAAGCATTGAACGAATCGAAGTCGCCAGGACCAGACGAGATTCCACCCAAGCTTCTCAAGGAACTTGCCA